AGAAGAAACATGGAATTTCCTGCAGTCTATCTATGGTGGAGGGCCTGAAGTAATCCTCCGACCTCCGGTTGTTCATGTTGACCCTGATGTACTACAAGCAGAGGAAAAGATTGAAGTAGAAACTCGATCTCTGTAGTTTTGAGGGTGCAGAGCTCTAATGAGAAGTCATCCTCACTTGATGCACACAAATTCAAAACATTCCTTAAAGCATGTTTATTTCTTTGATTTTCATCTTTTATCACATTTATTCCTTTGTACTGGGCATTATGGGATGGTATGTTAAAATGTGTAATATAAGTTGGTAATATTTAATGCTAAATAACTGACCATAATGTCTTTCAGTGTACTGTTTTTGAAAGTAAAGGGACACTTGGTAATCGGGTTCCCTGACCTTTGTTCTACAGGCAGATGCAGGTACCCTCTTCAGAGCTGTAAATACTTCTGCTTGAAAACTTTTTCTTTACCCTAAGCCATCATAGCCGGCCAATCTTTTCAATTCTCAAAAAAACCTAATTTAATTGTATAGTTTTGACATGGCTTTGCATAGTAAGCCGCCTATTTTAAATTGAGAGTAGTGGTCCGAAAATTGTTAATTTCCTAAAGCTCAGGAAACATTAGGTGTTACTTCTTTTGCACTGCAGCATACAAAATTGCTTATTAAAATTTACAGTATGTCTTTTGAATGTAACAGGATGTATTTAGTTTGAGTGGAATTTGTCACCAGATTATCAGTAACTTATTGCCGCTTATAATGTAAAATGTTAAACTTTAATACTATAGACCTGAATGGTATTCATTAATGTCAGTAACCTAAAAAAAAAAAAAAAAAATCTTAGTTTTAGGCCACTTTTTATTTTGAGAGCATGAAGTATGGAATGTGTCCAATGAGATTGTGGATAAAGCTGAAACCACTTGCAAAATGATTTTTTTAATGAAATGCATAAAGTCTTTTTGAATAATAGAGTATGCACTGCTGTTTGCTTGATTATGTGATGTCAAACGCTTAACTATATTCCACGTGCAAACATGCCAGGTGACAAGAGGATGTAAACAGCATTCACGATGGCTTTCTGTGTGGGGTAGCTGCACCATCTACAAGCAATGTTAAAATTCACTCAATAAAAATAATTTTAAGATGTGTAAACTGAATGTTGAATTTATTTGATAGACTTTTAGAAGGGCATGAAGTTTGTTAATATTAATGCCTTTCATTATATCTTATTTGAAAACATGCAAAAAAGAAGTTCTTTGCTGTAGTAAAGTTTTTTTTTTTTTTTTTTTTTCGAGACAGGGTTTCTCTGTGTAGCTTTGAGCCTTTTCCTGGAACTCACTTGGTAGCCCAGGCTGGCCTCGAACTCACAGAGATCCGCCTGGCTCTGCCTCCCGAGTGCTGGGATTAAAGGCGTGCGCCACCACCGCCTGGTTGTAGTAAAGTTTTTTAAAACATTTCAGGTGGAAAGGAATTAAGGTTCTCTAAGCCTCTATTAGCCACTCCAGAATGGCTCCCGGAGTCTCATCCTTACCTTAAACTACCTGTCCTACCTTGGATAAATTTGTGGGCTGTCTTAAGGCTTCATGGAGACCCCCATCAGAATCTGGTGGTAGACCTTCAACTGCTCCCTGTCTGTGGGCCGTTGTGATCCCATTCTGGGCCGGTCAAGGGTCATGCCTCATCAGTATTGGCCTGAATAGCTGTGTGCTGGCCATGTGGCCCTGGAACCACTTTAGGGGCAGCACCTAGGATCTGCTCTTGCTCCTCAGTTGTGAACAGCAACTGCTAAAGCTGTTGACAATCATCCCACATGGGCTGATGTGTGATCGTTACAGAATCTAGGTCTAATAAGGCAGATGGTTTTTCAGAAATTTTGGGGTTCTCCATCTTTCAATTGTACAAATCACTAGTAGCAAAGGGTATGTAGGACATGTATTGACGACCTGCCTGATTTGGTGACCCAGTTGCCCACAGAGGCAGGGCCACTGTAGCAGATCTGCCTGTCTCATGGTCTGGCACAGGTGTGAGGACGACTGACTGCACCTTCTGCCCCCTCCACCCCCAGCCCCAGGCCTGGTTTGGCAGCAGCTATCTGTGGGGGGAGGGGCAGGTGCTGGTGGAGGGGGTGGCACTGGAGCATAGGGAGGCTGGTAAAGTCCTCCTTGTACAGAAGCGGGTGGGACTGCTGGCTTATGGTCCTTCAGCCATTCTGCTTCTTTCACCTGTCAGACTGTTGGGACCAGTGGCAGGAAGGGCTTCAACCAAGAAGAGGGGCTCTCCACTAGATATTGTCACGTGGTGATGTATGAGACCTAGTTGGGATGCCCAGGTTTTCCATACATGATATCTTTAACCTGACAGATGGTAGGGAGGTGGAAGGTGCTGCCATCTGGCCATTCATTCCTGCAAAATATGGTTAGTTTCCCTGGCTGTACAAGCAGCTCCAGATTCTCTGCCTGGTGTTTGAAGTCCTTAAAATGTGACTGGACTAGGTCCAGAGGAGTGGAGCTTGCTGACTGTCCCATGGTAGTATGTTTCAAGAAAGTAAAAGATGAACAAAACACTTGTGGTGTTATTTTGTGTACCCCAATATATTGTGTACCATAATAGTGTACCCTAATAAACTTATCTGGGGGTCAGAGAACAGAACAGCCACTAGATTAGACATAGAGGCCAGACAATGGTGGCACACACACCTTTAATTCTAGTACTCAGGAGACAGAGATCTGTCTGGATCTCTGTGAGTTCAAGGCCACATGGGGAACAGAGCCAGGTGTGGTGGTACACACCTTTAATCCCAGCACTTGATATCTCATGTCTTTGTTTGGGAAGTAATCCCAGGAAGTAATGGCAGGAAGCAGAAAGGTATATAAGGTGTGAGGACCAGGAAGTAGAGGCTTTTAAGCAGTTCAGCTGAGATCCATTTGGGTGAGGACTCAGAGGCTTTCAGTCTGAGGAAACAAGATCAGCTGAGGAGTTGGCAAGGTGAGGTTAGCTGTGGCTTGTTCTGTTTCTCTGATCACTCAGTTTTCTGGCCCCAGTTTTTTTTTTTTTTTGTTTTGTTTTTTGTAAGACCTTTTAAGATTTGTGTTACACACACACACACACACACACACACACACACACACGACAAACCCACCGGAGTCTGGGAAAGACCAGAATGTTGTAGACAGTGGCCTATTCTGCAACCAGGCTCTGCCATACAGGAGCAACAGTCATTGACTATCAAAACCAAAGTCAGACTGGAGTTCTCTGGCTCCACCAGAGCGGAGCCTTCGGGTTCCAACAGAACTCCCTCCCCTCTAGGAAGAAGTTAAGCCACATCTGCCCTACCTCCCTAGGCCTCCAGATTGTGTCTGGACAGCAGACCAGACAAAGACACACCCAGACTCATCGATCAGTGGAGTACAAAATGTACTCCCCTAAAATGCTCTACTATAGAGTTGAGGGTCCTCAGTGATCCCGGATGAGCCCCCAAATGTAAAGATCTGTGAATTGCTGAAGGAAGACTCCAGACTCGAATAATACGTAAAAACAAAGAGTGTTTATTCTGCAGAATTTACCAGAATGCAGAGTCAACCATTTATACAAAATGGCACCTCAAGAGGAGCACACAGGTTCCCTTTAAGCACAGCTAGGGATATTCCAGGAAGAGTTAAGTCACCTTGAATGTGACTGGTCAAGCAGGCAACAGTTACACTAGTATACTTTTGATTGGCTGAGGTTAGTTTTACTATCTTTGGACATGTTTTGAGAGGTTTGCAGGAACTGTCCTTATGTGGTCAGTGCTTTGAGATACTGTGGGGTGGACTCAGGCCTTGTATATGCTCCCTCCCTCATCCCTGCTGTCTGTGGTGGTGTTGACAAATAGCCCTTTGTTTAAGAAACTGAAATTTAGGCCTGGATTGTAAATGGAGCAGTTCAGACCTCTCATCTCTCTTTCTCTCAGACAGGGCCTTATGTAGCTCAGGCTGGCCTCAATTCTGCTTGGTAGCCTAACATTCTAGCACTGCGGGGCAGAGGCAGAAAAATCAAGAGTTCCAAGCTATATATGGAGTTGTAAATCAGCCTGGACTATAGAAGGTGTTGTCTCAATGAAAACAAACTCCAAATTGTAACATGTGTTTTGTCAACAAATATGAGCAAGGTCACAGGTTGGGTTTCTCTGATAGCAGATGTTTACACACTAGTGCAGAGACTTAAAAAGGAATGCTCTTGGTATCATTCTTGGAGGAGAAAAAAAGTTGAACTAGATCTGAACAGAGTGCCTCATCCAGTCCATTGGGTTATACAGATGGGATGCTCCTTCAGAATGGATGCAAGTTGGAATAAATGACAAAACTTTTACATTACAATGATCAGTTCTCTTGGAAACAGATGATGCAGTGTGACAATGCCGTGGCTGGAGCTGTCAACTGGTGGCTGGCTCTGGACAGCAGACAGGAAAGTTCCGACCATCCCAATAGTAGCTATCCTATGTCGGCAGCATATTGCCCTGTACATAAAGCTATTATGGACAGAATTTGGTAGGGAAACCATGTATTTTTATATCAATGCCTATTCCAACAGAGTTCACTAAAAAGTATGGCAGGGATGTGTTCTGGTGAGGCCTTACAGACCCAACTACTAAAAAGACTAAGGCAATGTAAGATAATAGGTGTGATTATCAGTACAATATAATTGGTACCCTTTATCTTGGGTAGATGTTACTTTGAGTTGAATTGGAAACTAAACAACTACATGACACTTTAATGATTTAATAACTTACCAGCCATTGAAAAGAAACCACAGATATCCACTCGCTTAGAAAAACAAAACAACTGTTTCAGCTAAGGAAAACACAGGCACTGAAGCAGTAGTTTACTGTTGTGAAGAGCCCCAATTAACAGATTCCACCAGTGGACTTGGTATTTTTGGAACATAATCAAGCAGCCAGAGGTTTTGGTCAGCATTTCCACAGCTCAGAAGTGATGGTTGATGGTGCTATCAACCCAGAGAAAATGCTTACCTCCATTACTGAAGGTGGGCATAGTATATTCGAAGGCAGGTGTTAGAGATGAAACTCACGAGCTTCACGCAGGGTAAGCGCACGCTGAGCCACATAAATACACCCGAGTTCCATACTTGGTGCTAGACACAACTGTCGGGAAAAGGCACGGAGAAAAGATAAGACGCTCTGCCTTTGGAGATACTACGTTCTTGGTGGGGGAGAACACTTACAAATAATGGGTAGACATGCTGTTTAAAAGTACGCAGAGTAAAAGCAGTAGTGCAGGTGTGCTCTTCGGAACCTCGGAGTGGTCTGGACAGCCCCTCTGAGGGAGACCCCAGAAGAGACCCGAAACACAGGAGACGGAGGAGCTGGGACTCTGGGCAAGTGATCTGCCTCAGGGAAGGGCCTGAGCAAAGGCTGGAGGTGGGCGCTTGCGCGCGGGGCTGCGCATCCGTGCGGAGGAGAGCATGGCTGTGCCGGGGCTGCCTCCGGGGCAGGTAAGGGGGCTCAGCCCAGGCTGGGAGCCGGCGGCGGCGCCCTCCTCGCTGCAGCGGCCGCGGCTACCGGCAGGTGGCGCGGTGAGCGCCCGGCACCACGCGTCTCCAGCCCGAGGAAGGAGGGGACCGGAAGGAGCCGCGGCTGCTGCGGGAAGTGGAGGAGCGGGAGGCGGGGACCCACCTGGAAGCGCCGCGGCGCCGCTGTGGAGCTTCCTGCGGCGGAGGGAGGGCGCTCGAGCCAGTGCGCGGCGGGGGCCGAGGGCGGCCACGCGGGCGGCGCCTCCCCGAGCGGCCGGCCCGACGCGGGAGGTGAGCGGGCTCCCGGGGCGCGCGGCGGGGCGGCCGGAGGGGCCGGAGGAGGGGCGCGCGGCGGCAGCGCGCGGGGCCGGAGCCCCCCGGACGAGCGCCGGGAGGGGGGTGGCCGCGGCGGCGCCCCCACGTGGGCCGGGCGCGCGCGTGCGCGGCCGAGGGGGCGGGGAGGGCGGCGGGGACGCCGGGCGCGCGGCCCACGTGACGGCCACGTGACCCGCGGCGCGGCCGGCTGAGGTCGGGCTGGGTTTCGTGCGTGGGGCGCTGCGGCCAGCGGAGGGCTCGGTGTGGCTTCCGGCCCTTCTCCCGCCGCGGGGCACTCGGAGGAGACGCGCAGGGCGGGGAAGGCTTGCCCCTCCTCCTGTGCGTCCGCGGCTCTCCAGTCCGAGAAGGAAGCACACTTTTTTCCAAATCCTGAAGTAGTGGTTCTCTTCCCCCCCCTCGCCGCCATGTTGGTGCCCGAGCACGCCCGCGAGATGCTAGTGGGTCTGTATCGCGAGATCTCCCGACTCTCGCGGGACCTTGTTGGCAGAGCGGTTGTGCTGGATGGCGGCTCCCCGGGTTCCGGGGACCTGGGACCTGCAACTCTTTTCCAGCAGGCAAGTTGTCAGGGAGGGGCCGGGGCGCGCGCCCGGCCGCCGGGAGCCTCGCCGCGCGCGCCGCCCCGTCGCCGGCGGCTGTGCGGACTGGCCGTCGGGGCGCTGCGCTCCTCCCGCCCCCAGGCGCCCGCCACCTGCCGAGCGCTCCCCCGCCGGCCCCGCGGCCAGCCCGCCCCGGCCGACACTGCCCCCTCTGCCGAGGTGCCAGTTTTTGCCCGGTTACCCCATTCTAAAGCATTCCAGCCCTGTTTACTCTTCTGTCGCCTAGCAGAACGCCGAGCATCTGTCCTTGTGTCTGGGCATCACTTACTCACTTGGCCATTGAGAAGTTCTCAGTGCCCTGGCTGTTGACAGTAGCTTTGGCAATGTTTGGAATCCCCTCCTTCCCTGACAGTATCTGAGGTCAGAATAAAATCGTTGTTATGTTCATGCTTATTAACTCCCATCAGTAGGGCTTTGCTTTTTAGTGTTATTGAGGTTACCATTTTGATATTCTGGGGTGGTGGTTTTAGGTTGCATAAAGTAGTACAGGATTGTTTTAATTAAAATCCTGCTACTCTTGCTACTTAAGTTTGAGGTATGTTTTCATAAGTGAATCACTTTCCACTTCAAATATCTATCTACTCTTAAGTGAGTTTACTATATTCGTCTTCGTTTGTTTGTATTCAGAAGTGTGGAAGTTGCACAATCGGGAAACCAGATAATTCATTCACAATTTATCCCCCCCCCCCCCTTTTTCCTTTTCTGAAATGGGTTCATTTTGTAGCCCAGGATGCTGTAGAGTTGTAGAGCTGACTAGATAGGCCCAGAACTTGCAGGAGTCCTCCTGTCTCAGCTTGCCTAGTGGTGAGGTGAATGGCATTTGCCATCACACCCAACACACAGACTATCTTGGCCACTGTATGCGAACATGTGCGCGGTTGCCTATGGAGGCAGAAGAGGCTGTCTCTGATTCCCCAGGAGTTTGTAAGCTGCTCAAAGTAGATGTGGGATCCGAACTCTGGACCTCCAGTAGAGTAGTAAACACCCTTAACCACTAAGCCATCTGTGTTGGTTTTGCTTTGTTTTTCAAAACAGGGTCTCTCTTTATAGCCCTTGCTGTCCTGGAACTCAACTCTGTAGACCAGGATGGCTTCCAACTCACAGAGATCCTCCTGCCTCTGCCTCCCAAGTGCTGGTTCTAAAGTTGTGCGTCACCACCACCTGACTGATCTCTCTGTTTTTAAACTACAAAAGTATATACCTTTTACCGAAAGGTAGAGTAAAATGTTCCTTGTTATAGTTTACCAGGCTCAGTTTTTTACCCTGTACCTGGTCACTGTGTTCCATGCTTTAGTTAGTCTTTTAGGAAGGGGAGCTAAGTTGGAGGGCTGTTTTTAAAATAAACTACCACAGCATTAGCAAACAGCAAATTATCTACTAGAGAAAAGTTTTTTAGTGACAATTCTGTCAGGACTCCTGGGCACACTTTCTTAATTGAGTGTGGATGCTTTGGTGGTATGTGTTGAATTTCTCCAAAAACAGCTATTTGTAGTAGAAATGTTCTGGGGTGCTGGGAGCTTTGCACAGAAAGTCTGTAAAACAAAGATTTAAGGAAATTATTTTGTCACTTGAGTTTTATAATTTTTAACATTTATATTTTGTAGTTATATATTATATTTTCTGAACAAAAATCATGTCAATCCTTTGGAGGTTTCCAGAAATTTTGTTTACTAGCACAGTTAAAGTAGTGGTTCTTTTTAAATTTTTTTTAAGTTTAAAGAAAATGTGTATTTTAAGTGTATGTGCCTCTTTGAATGTTTATGCACCAGGTGTGTGAAGAGGCCATGAAGGTCAGAAAGAAGAAGGTGTCACACACAGTCCCTGGAGTTACAGGTGGTTGTGAGCAACCATGAGAGTGCTAGGAACCAAAGGGCCTCTGGGAGAGCTGTAAGTGCTGAGCTGTCTCTTCTAGCTCCGCAGAGTGACAGCTCTGACCATGCAATTTAGTAAACTCACTAGAATGATAGACCTCAGTAGTTAATACTAACATCTGCTTAAATTAGAAGATGCTAAGTATCTATTGTTTTTGTCATTATTCTTCTGAAAAAAAAAAACCTTAGCAACCATAGAGTTTTATTTTAAAATTCTAAAAAATTAGATAATATAGCTTAGGCTTTACTGGAATTTAAGAACCTTTTGCCCTAGTCTCTGGAATTCTGAGACTGCAGACATTCATTACTAAACATAAATTCTGTGTTTATCAAACCTGTTACAGTAACGACTCAAGTGGTGTTCTTGTTTGTTTTTTAAACTCAGTCTAGTGCAGGTTGGAATGTTGAGGAATAGACCTGTTGAGTTATGATATAGAAAAGATAAATATAGTTTGACAGTGAAATGGAACTGTAAAAGTTGTACAGAAAGGGAGCGACGTAGATACGTAAGAGCCAGAACCCAAGCATAGGCAGGGTCATAATAGAGGGGGAAACTTGAATTGACAAGTTCTTCCTTTTTGGGTAGAGGTGGGGTGTGGGGAGGATTGTTAGTTTATTTTGGGGCAGATTCTCACTGTGTAGCCTTGGCTAGCTTGGCACTTATGTGCAGACCATGCTGGCTTTGAACTCATTGCAGTATTTCCACCTGTGTCTTCAAAGGGTTGTGACTGTAGGGTGAACCATTATTCCCAGCTCTTGATGTTTCTTAGACGGTTCTGCAGTTCATTTTCAGATTACACTAGGTGTCACTTGGGATAATGGTCAGTAGATGAAGTAGATATTTAATTGAAATTTTGTGGAGTATTTAGTTAGGTAGACTATTGACTCGTGCTTGTAATCCCAGCACTCAGAAGGGTGAGGAAGGATTGGATCACTGAGTTTGACACTGACAGAGTGAAACCCCATCCTTGAGATACCCAGAGGGAAGAGAAGAAGGCAGCGTGTCTTGGAGGTCACACTTGTGCCATTGCTTCTGCAAAGCTGTCTGCCTAAGTTGAGCATAATTGTGATTGGTCCGTTGTGTGGGTTGGAGAATAAGAAATCTTCCTTGGGACATGATGATGCATGCCTTTAATCCCAGGATTTGGGAGGCTGAGAGAGGTGAATCTGCATTTGAGACTGGCCTGGACTACAGAATGAGTTCTAGGACAGACAGGGCTACACAGAGAAACCGTTCCTCGAAAAACCTTAAATAAATAAGAATAAGAAATCTCTTGCAACTGTTGCTTTACAAACTGTTTTTGGTGGTAAATTATCTGTCTTTTACAGATAATTTATTTTGCAGTTGAGAAAATTTAAGAAAGAGGAGAAAAGTATTTTGCATGCAGTCATTGTTCATGCAGATTATAGTGAAGTACATGGCCAAAAATGTCAATGAAAATGTGGCAGGTGCTTTAAAAGGAAAACTAATTTCAAATAAAAATTGAGTTTGACATTAAACTGTAAGTGACAGTTGAGTATTATGGTAGTGTTCTGGCAGTATTTAGTATAAATGTGATACTTTTTTTGTATAATTTTCTGTAATTAGTACTTTGGTAACCACTGTCATACTAGAGAAGAATATGTATGTGTCTATCAGTCAACACTGCAAAGGCCCAGAAGGTGTGTGGCTTCTGAAACTGGCTGTCTGGAGTTGGCGTTTTTGTTTGACATTGCATTTCTTACCTTCCTGTTTTCTACTCAAGTAGTCACTCTTTGTGTAGTGTTGTATAATAGTTTCTATCTTGACAGAGAAGTGAGTTCCGTGACTTTCCCTGAGGACAGTGTTGCATTGACAGGTCAAGCTAGTTGTTTATTCCCCCTGCTCCCCGTTTTTGTAGTGCTGGGAGTTGACTCTAGGACTTGAAGCATGCTAGATATGCGTTACTCTACTCAGCTCTAGTCCCAGTTGTCTGCCCTTCCCTGCCCGCTAGTGTTTTGCAGAAGGGCCTCCACTGGAGGCCTCCACTGGAGGCTGGCCTGGAGCTGCTTTTCCTCCAGCGAACAAGGGATGGCAGGTCTGCTGGTGTGCCCCTCCCACTTGTGTCTTTTGTATTATTGTAGTTTTTCGAGACAGGGGTTCTCTCCGTAGCCCTGTGTCTTTTATTTTTTAAACAGCGTTCTTACACGTTAAGAGTCCTTCATCTAACGTTTATTAAGCAACAGGGAGCTCAGTAATTTGTAATATGGCAGAGATTCTGGGCCCTACACCATTGGTAAATCAAGTATTTCACACATCACTTAATAAGAGAGAGGCCTTGTATGTGGAAGTTACAGGACAGCTTGTGGGGGAGATGGTGGTTCTCTCCCTACCATAGGGGTTTCAGATGGAATTCAGGTTGTCAAACTTGATGGCAAGTGCTTTTATCCAATGATCCATCTTGAAGGCCCAACTAGTTGATTTTTAGTTGATAGAACCTGTCTGTTATACTTCTTTCTTTTTTCCCCCTTCCTCCTCTTCCTTTAGTGCTGAGGGTCAAACTTTACCATTCATCTAACTCCCCACCTCATTTTGCTTTCTTACACACTTACCACTTAGAAATCAAGTTTATGCGCTGGGCGATGTGGTGTACACCTTTAATCCTAGCATTTGGGAGGCAGAGGCAGGCAGATCTCTGTGAGTTCAAGGCTGGCCTAGTCTACAGAACTAGTTCCAGGAAAGCCAGGACTATACAAAGAAATCCTGTCTCACCCTCCCCCCCCCCCCAAAAAAAAAGAAAAGAAATCAAGTTTATGTTCTTCATAAATGAAGTGAAATTTGGATGTGTTACTTGTCAGGATTATTTTCTTGGAAAAGATGTATGTTTTGTGAAATTACCTTATTAGCATCTCTTTAAGAACTTTCTGATTACCTCCCTGTTAGGTCTCAGGAACCCGGGACAGATGGCTAGCTGGGGTGCCTATTTAACATGTCAGAGCAGACTTGCCCCACCAGGTTTTTCCACTATCCCTCCATCCCTTCCTGTACAGGGAATGGCTGGCAAACCCTACCCCCTACCCTAAACTTCTCCAGCCCAGTAGCTGGGCTGCTCTTCCCCCAGCTGCCCTTCCCTGTATAATCCAGCCATTTTGATAACCTGGTCCTTTGGTCTAGCCTTTCTCCTCTTGGTGTCCTGGCACTCCCCTCTCCCTTCCCCAAATTCACATGGCCTGGCTCAGGGACATGTTCTCTCAGACTCTCCCAGATGTCTCTGCCTGTGGCTATGCTTTTCCTTTTATCTAAAATAAACATTTTGCTCCACCATACCTAGGAGTAGTCATGCCCTTCCTTTTTTGTTTCTTTTTTTTATTCCCCCCTTCCCCGCCACCCCCAAAACAAACATGTCCCTCACGCTTTTCCTCTCTCTCTCTCTTTCCAGGGTCATGTACCCCAGGCTGGCTTCGAACTTGCCACATAGCTTAAGGTCTTACACTTTTTTGAACCTCATGCCTCGACCTCCCAAATGCTAG